AGTTTAATTTGTTGATTTTATCGTTTGGGCGCACTGTTTGTAGTCGATAGTATACAAAGCATAGACAATGTTTTTAAAGAACCGGTATTACGTCATTATATAAATTAAAAATAGAAGATCATTGAACGTTATTCGATCGTCAATATTGAGACAGGCTGGGACTGACACGGGTTAAAATAAGTGTAGGAGGTCTCGTCTCGTCCTACTAGCCAGTGTGTATTCTTACACGTGTTCTGTGTAGATATGAGTAAATATTATACATATAAGACTACCGACAAACTTCGTACCGCCTAAAAAAATATTATCTCACCTTTTTAAACCTTCCCTAGACGAAAATTTCAAGACCAAAGTCAAAAAGGCAAATCGGTTCAGCAGTTCTTGAGTTTTAGTCAGACTACCTAAGGGAAATCCATGTTTATTTATATAGATAGATAAACTATTAATTTAAACAATGAAATTACACTTATAGATTAAGTACCTAATTGCTACTGGCTGCTTTTAGCTGTGATTTTGCATAATCTTTCCACTATCAATGTGGTTGACCATATAAATCAAACATTTTGTAATCCATTGATCCGCTGCCGTGTCATGCAGCCACAAGTCATAGGAAAACAATCAACCAGCTAACACAACAGTACATGCCGTGCCTACGTACAATTTCAATGCAATAATTACTGATACCTATTACCACTGTTTGTAGTCATTTTTTACATACATTTGTTGATAACTGTATTGTAAATCTAATGGTTTGTTTTATGTTTAAAAAACGATATGTAATACATAGTAATAAGAATTAGAAGCTTTTCGATAAAGCTTAAAACTTTTTGATAAACTCCAAGCTTTCCGATCTAGTTCAACACTTTCCAATCAAGGTAGAATAGTACGTAGTGACGTAAATAAACATACGATATTAATTTAAAGGAACATAATTGGTTGATACCGTAAAATAAAATTTCAAGTGTGTAACACAGCATCACACCTTATATCCCCGAAGAGGAAGGCAGAGGGGAACACAGAGGTAGCACCCACTTATGTTATGTTATGAGTCCCATGTAAGGGTCACGGGGGTGAGCCTATTGCCATATACCGGGCACCATTTTCAGACTCCGTGCTACTACTAGAATTTTTAAAAACCCAGTAATACTTTGCCCTACCGAACCCGAAGCTGAACGAATCGAACCGAACCTGAGACCCCTCGCCCGTTCGTCAATGAATAGTTCATTGAAGAACTTGGAAGACTCTTCGCTACAGCACAGTATAATAATGATGTATCATCAAACTAACCACAAATATGCATCGCATGAGTAATTGAGTAAGTACATGTACGTACTCTATCAAATTTCAGCTTGAATTAATTACGATAGAGTAAAAAAAAATAAGAAAGACTTGTTGGCTTTATAACAAAGTAAAGTATCAGGTAGACACTGCGATTGAGTGATACAAACATAACATCACGCCTTTTTTCCCCTGAGGGATAGGCAGAGGTGCACATTATGGCAATTAATGCTACTGCACAATGTAACACCCACTTTTCCCTATTTGTGTTATGAGATCCATGTAATAGGGGGTGAGGTTGATACAACATAGTAATTATGAGATAATGCGAATGCCGTACTTGTTTATCTAATTATCTCAGTACAGTAGTACGGAGTCTGGAATGATCAGTTTATGTTAGTAGACTGGTTTTCTATTTATTGCATGGAAAGTGAAAACCTTTTTTAACAGACTTCAAAAAGGAGGTTTCCAAGTTTGACCTGTATGTATGTTTGTGTTAGATTGTCTCGCGATTGGCTGTTCCGTTTTAGATGCGGTTTTCAGAAAAGTGTTACACATACTTAGGAGAAAGTGTTAGTATATTACTTAACGGACTTAAAAAAGGGGTTGAAGTCGTTTTTTTAGTTTATAACAGAATTATTTAACTAATAGTTTCTCCCCATGTAAATAAATTATCATGCTAAACTTATATTAAAGTTGTATAGTAAATTAAATACTGGTTACCAACATTTAAATAAACTTTACAAATGATCACATACTTCAATTATAAGGTAAACATACAGGCCTACACAGCCGCAGGACACATCACTCGAATAATTTGACTAATGCCAACAAAAAACTCATACAATATGTGAGAAAACAAATATTATGTACTCTATGATGTAATAAGTACAAGCATCATAACAAAGATAATAATTCTGCGTGTGTTAATGATCCATGGGAATTAGGAAGAATTACTGAATATTATATACAGGCAGACTGCCTCGTTGGCCGAGTGGTCGCAAGTGCGACTGCCGGGCAAGGGGTCTCGGGTTCGATTCCCGGGTCGGGCAAAGTATTACTGAGTTTTTAAAAATCTCAGTAGTAGCACGGAGTCTGGAATTGTGCCCGGTATATGGCAATAGGCTCACCCCCTATTACATGGGACTCATAACATAAATAGTGAAAAGTGGGTGTTACATTGAACAGTGGCATTAAGTGCCGTAATGTGCACCTCTGCCTACCCCTTCGAGGATAAAAAGGCGTGATGTTATGTTTATGTTATGTTATATACAGGCACTTGAGAAAATACCATAATATTTTTAGCTTCTGCCCGCGATTTCGTACGCGCAATCCCGTTTTCTCCCGATCCCGTAGGATTTTCTGGATTTTTTCTGTCTTAAGAACCTAATAATAATAAATACAATAAAAAAGAATGTATGAAATCGGTCCAGCCGTACACGTGTGATGCCGTGACCAAGGGAATAAGGGATTCATTTATATTAAACGATGACGTCATACTTCTATAGGACGAAGTCAGTATATTAGTACCTGTATCGTTAAAAGGTTAAGGAGTGGCTAGCTTCAGAAGCTTCGCTAACTTCTTACTTCTTCTATGTATCAATCAATAATGTCTAAAAACTACTTAAGTAAAAATAGTTATATTATATTACGTCAAAGTCAAAGTCAAAGCATTTATTTCAATTAAACCATAGTTTGGTACTTTTGAAACGTCAACAAATACAAAATAAACAATAGTCTGTCAGTCAGTCCGTCAGTGAAACTAGGTGAAGCTAGGTGCTCATTCCAAAAAGTAGATTCGAATGGAGAAGAACGAGCAAGAAACTCCATTTGTTACTCTTTTTAAAAAAGTATGTTCTACAATGTCTCTGATACATATTTCAATACTGTACGCATATGTAATAACAATGCAAAGACATGCTTGACGCATTATACTAATAACTTACTAAAATTAAAAAAAAGAAATCTTGAAGTCCAACATGTTGCTCACATGATACGATGCTCATTGCTCAGTAACTACGAAACAAAACAGATTTTTTTAAACGTTGCCCCACTCTATGGATATCTCCTATGTCGTTGATGCGTTAACAAACATACAAGTTCACATACACATGACACCCAGACCTGAACAACAATTTGTGGATCACACAAAGAGGTGCTCCGTGCGGAAATAGAACCCGCGATATACGTTGCGCGGCAGCCGGTTGTCCAGCCACCGCACCAACCGTGCCGTCAACTTTAATATAATCATTAAGAGGCTTTCTGTGTGTCTGTTGTGTTTGAAACGACTAGATATAAATCAGCTCCCATTATAATTATACAGTTGATATTCCTACATCTAATTTGTTTTAACATGCCTTCAATGAATACCTGCTAATTAGACTAAAGGCCAGTCATTCCATCTACTAGCAGCTAATGTCGTCGTTGCACTAATACTAATCTAATCTATATCAATATACTTATCATTGCAACTGCAGTGTTCACGTTGTGTTGTAATGCCGTGTGCACCGTGGCAACACACGTGACTAACAGTCGACGATAATGATAATTACAGCTTTAACTAAGACATACAAACTATTAATGAAGATATACAATAATACAGATAACTTGGAGTTCTATTAAAGCTGTTGCGTTGCGATTTTCCAATAATACCTATGCACATATATTGTTATTTAATTAAACATCATGGGTCATTATAATAATTTCGTTTCAGTCCTCAAATACGTAAAAAGGTACATTTATGTACGTAACGGAAACACTGGCATGTTAAAATTTATTTCTATCTCGTCCCTGTTGCGTTATTGTACATATTACCATGGTTCGGAGCCCGGGGCAAATTCATCCGATGGGCCCTCGTTCCCATTTAAAAACAGAGAAGTTCAGATGAAAGCCTCTGAACGAGGTCCTTCCAGCTGGGCATTTTCTGCCGACTTGCCACCCTGTATTTACGCCACTACTTGTCACTGTCATTCTTCTGTCTTCTAATTATCACCAGCACAGCCACATAAAGCTTCCTTCCTTCTTACATACAAATTGTAATTCCCGAGCGTAAATTGGTCACAAATTCTTATGGCGGTATTCCAAGGTTTTGTTTTAAGATGGCCTATTAATTAAAGTTTGATAAAACTATATTGTTTTGATGTAAAACACACGGGAAATCCAGCAGATTCTCCTGTATATACCTTAATCGTCAGGCTGTCTGCTCCTGGATACATAGGAGGTAGAACATTCTGAAATGATAAGCATTGGGGACCTGAAAAAATAATATCAATTCAATTCACATAATGTACAGACACGCTGACAGTTTACATTTCGACAAAAGTGTCTGTAAAAATCAAAGTCTTTTTTACTTTGATATTTTTTCTAATTATCTTATATGTATTAGAGTTCAATCAGTAAAAGAAATGGCGTAGTCTTATGTATATGCGTGCACGCAGATACATATTTCAATCAGGCAGCTACAAAACTGTTTTCGCAACGAAATCTCCGATCGGAATAACTTCATAGAGATTAAATTAATTTAGTATGTTTATATCTGAGCGGTCGATTCCGTTTGGGAATGCGCAAGCGCTTAGAAATTAACGAGCGGATTGCTGCGTGCATTGTTAATAGGTCGCTATAATAAGCTTATTTTTAGAACTACCAACTCGCTATCAACTTAATTACTTCAGAAATAGAAAGGATTTCCATCTGTGTATTTTCATTTTGATATTTTTTGTCCACAGATTTCGCTATGAGTGTGAGGGCCGGTCAGCGGGTTCGATACCCGGAGTGAATAGCACGTCAGATAACAAGACTTACCCTACAATTAAGATATGCGGATACACAGGACAGGTGGTTATTGTCGTGTCCTGTGTCACCAAAGATGAACCTTACAGGTAAGAACTGTATACTATTACTTAATTAAAAGAACCTACTTTATCCATAGAATTTGGTGTTTAACGTAAAAATATTATTTTAAATGACATACCTGCTACCTAATTTCTACTGCCTGTCTTTATCCCATGTTGACTAATTGGTGCAATATCTTCCATTCTCTTGTTCGTATCTTAATAATGAGATCCACGCTATAAAACTGTTATAATTGAATGCACCTGCTACTTAACCAATGACTCAATACCAATGTTTACTCATAGTAAACTATTTATGGTATATGCAAAATTCACAATTGTGTTAACTCAGTAGTCTCTCCATAAACTAGTTACCAGACATAATGCAGACGCTGTTTGACTTGCTCTACGTAATAAATATATTTAAACTGCTTTCAAAAATACACCATAGCGCTATATCGTTGCTATGGAGAATTTACAATATTTCTACACCAGTTTGTATAACACGTATAGGTAGCACAAGTACTTATTCTACACATATTATGACCATTACTGATTAAATTGGCACACAATATTCACATTATCAGGTAGTTCAAAATTAAAGGATATTTTTAAAACCACAATATTCCTGTACACTCCTAATACTGCAACTGTTTTTGGGAATATGTAATCAACTTGCAATAAATTGCAACTTGTAAGTTGCAATAAAACTGATAAAATATGCAATAACAAACCAATAAGTAGCATTTGCATCAGTTATGTTCATAAATGTCTTTATTTCAGGGCACACCCCCACAACCTGGTGGGTCGAGAACGCTGCGAGAGGGGAGTGTGTACCATCCCCCTTCGCGTCACAGAGGAGACATGTGAATACCAGTTTAAGAACCTCGGCATCCAATGCGTGAAGCGACGGGACATCGCCGAGGCCCTTACCATCAGGGAGAAATTGAGGGTGGACCCCTTTAGAAGTAAGTTTCTTTCTTTTAAACTCCACTCTAGACTCTTCTTGTCTTATCTTGAGGCAGTTTAAAAGCACACGTAATATACTTGAGACTATTTTATACTTGTTGATCACCTAGCAGGCGCAGGCGTCAGTTGTCCAGTCATAACGTCAACCGTCAAAGTGCTCATATATTGCCATGAAAAGTGTTCAAATAGAAGATAATAGTTATTTCAATAATACTGACAATAAAAGGGCATGGATAGCATCGAATTAGGCACTTCATTCACCTTGACTTAACAATCGGGCACAGAGTATATTTATACAATATTTATTTCAATATAGATTCCTTGTAAAGGTATTAAGCGGATTGTCCTTCCTTGTAAAGAGTGCCATGCATAATGTTGTTGTGGCCGTTGAACTGACACGTTGAACCACAGATAAATAATAATGTATGCGTACACGTGTACTCAAACAATACCACCTGTATATTCTGTCTGCACTTTCATTCTTTTAAAGCAAGCCATGTACAGCTTAATTATGGGTTGAAAAATTAATGTTTTCTTATGCAGTTTGTGTCATTTAGATTCAACAGAGAAATTGTTTCTGTTTATATCTCCCTACACCGAGCCAACAAGTTGTTATTTACACTGAGATAATATTTAATTAATTGGTTCTAAAAATATCGCTTGCAGCGCGTCGATAATGTAATTATAATTATACGAGTAAGTACCTATACTTAACATTAAGTATAGGTACTTAATGTTAAGAAACCCCTTTGTAGTCGTTTCACTTGAGCGATGAGGACCAATGTCATTTGATGACGTGTTCGTATTTCGACATCCGAGTGTGCTGACGTCATGGATAGCAATGAGTTTCAGACAAACTGCGTTCAAATACTATGCCTTGTAATAAATAATCAGAGACGCGTAGAATCTATATCACCACTGGTCTTCTAATTATTTGTAAAAATACGTTTAACCTTCTAAACTTTTCCGCTAGAAAACTGGCTTGTGTTTGTGTTATGTCGCGTGTCGTAAGTCGTAACTTAGCTAATCTTAACGAGATTTAGAGACGAATACAATTATTGGGATGAAGTATGCATAATCTTCTTTGGAAAACAGGCGAAGGGTCTACTCAGACGATTCATTGAAAATAGTTCAGTCACTGACTGACCTGAGCTTTAATTTCAAAGAATTCAAGTCTAGTACAGACGGGTATTACACACCTATGTCCTGAGTGACCGAAACTGTTGAACCTGGGAAATTCACATTTGGTAACTCGTGTAATTTTGAAATATGAATTGTATGCTCAATGTCTTAGACCAATTTACATTATTTTAAAAATCCAAGCATTAGCAAATGTTACCTAAACATTGCGGGTTACTCACGTGAGTACACTGAGAAAAGCTCTACTAGTTTCGAACCACAGAGGGGTTCTTCCTCATGAGTAGCGTGCGCGATGTCGCACAGCCTACTGTGATTTTTAGTTAATTTAGTATGTCTCACGATAGTTATTATAAAAACATAAGCAGATGTTTCTCTAAATACTCGTTTTACCAATTTCTTTTCCGAGATTCCTCTTTTAACTAAACTAGTGATCTTGATTTTCTCAGTGCCCCCGTCCGCGGCCATTCATCACAACACAGTATTGAGCTCGAATGTCGCATAATTACACGTTCCGCCAGTCGCTCAAGGTCGGTCGATGACCCCTCCTTTGTCTCAGACCTTTACTATTTACATGTAGGCTAAATCTCGTATACTAGTTTCTATTTTCACTAGAGAAAGGCTTTATATAAACAAATTGGAGTTTATGTAAACCTCCTCAGCTGCCCATTGTCTTCATTCATTTGGATAACAGTTATTATATCAATCTTATTACAAATGTTTCTTTAAGAGATTCTTTCATGCCTTCCCTCCAAACGTTAAAAAAATAAAACCATTTGATGCTTCAATAAGAACAATCAGCTAATTATGTATTTGCAAATATTTCTGACTTATCTGTTACAATCACAGAGCATATAATTCTTTATATGTTCTGTGGTTACAATAATGGCCCACTTTCATTACCGCATCATGCAGTGTAGACTATCTAAAGTATTCAATAAACTTTGTACCAAAACATGGTTTTCATGTGAGGGTTTAATTAGCTTCTATCCGATGAACCGTTAACCGTCAACCAGTTTGTCAACTTGTTAAGGCTTCGTCGTGTTGTGAAGTGCGAATAACTTGTTCCACGCAACGCAGGTTACCTCAGCTTCACTCATTTATTAATGTTTTGAAATCGAGCTGCTATCGCTTACCTGGTTTCTAGACTTTAAGGAAAATGTACAAAAATATTAGAATGCAGTAGTGTAACTTTACTACAACCGACCCTTTTATTTTATTACCAGGCCAACCCATATAATAATTACGTGTTATCCCGACTACTTTCGAACTTGTATGGAGCTCATAACATTCCTAAATCTTACTTTTATACACTTATGTTATATCGCACTTCATATTTGACACATTAACTGCTAATTTCAATAGTCTATCTCAATCCAATTATGATTGATTTTGACCGAAACTCCTTACACAACTACTGTTAAAAATCAATTTCGCGAGACGATCTTCGGCCATCGTAAGCGCACGCCGCAATGAGCCATCAAGCCAACACAGAAGGGGTTTAGTAGGGATGATGCCGATACGGTGCCGCGAAGGACGGGTCAAAATCCATGCTCCGGCTCGAAGTGTAGGAGTAAGAACAGGGTGGTTTTTAGTCAGTAAGAGTCTGACACTCCCTCCCGCCTCACCCAGGCGGGAGCAGACATTCGATGATTTCCCCGCTTAAAAAAAGACTTGATTGAGATAGGTTATTCAATAAAAAAATATTCGTAATATAGCATGTTTGTCAGATAAACCCGAAATAAATGCGTGCGTGAAACCGTAAGCAAATAAAAAACGTAGTAGAATGTTTGTTTGACAACTTTTCATTACAATATACATTGGTAAAAACCACAAACGTTTCAGTTGTAAAGTGATAAATTATTACGTACGGATGTATGTATATATGTATGTATGTATGTATGAGTGATGCAAAAATGTCAAAATATTGCCAGTAAACAGTTTGTGTCGTTACACTTTTTATTGTATTGTAATTATCATTCGTCAGATAGCGTATCATTTCAGTATCTCCACTATCAGTGACGTTATCGCGACCATTGACTTTATTCATTGATGTATGTATAATTAAGAGCGTAATTCGCACATTACATGGCGCCTTTATGGGGAAAGCCTATCTTTAGCTTTACTACCGGACTTGGGCATTTCCAAGTATGAAATGATAAGGTTCTAATTACCCACCGTGGGAATACCTAGCACACGTAAAAATGAAAATATTGACAAATATAATCGTAGTGATACAAATGACTAGGTGCTGATACAGAGTGCGAAAAGCCAGCTCAGTAATTACATAAATAATACCTAAAATAAATACAAAAATTATCAGATTTACGACTTAATCAATTTAGCACGTAAATTTTGTATAGGTGCAGACAGATTTTGTGTATTTCCAGAAAATTATCTTTAGACGCATGCTTATCCAGTCGAACATTACAACTTATTTATTAATAACTTACGTTTACTAATACAAATTAGGAGATTCCTATTGCGATAAGATCACATATCTCCAGATCTGTGGTAAATGTTATAAAATGTACCTCCTTTAATACATCACTATAACAAATGCTCCTTACCTTGGTAAAACGTAGGTGTTTGTTTTACAGTTACGAGTCCAATGAAATAATGTGCGCACGAGTATCAAAATAAACGAGATTTATTTACTGGCCAAGGCAGAGTGCATGCGCACTATATGGGCCGAGGTCTAGGGTTAAATGTGAGGATCATATTCATTACGTTAAAGTCAGTAAAGGAATCAAGCTTCAAATGCTCCTTATATTGTCATTCAAATATTTGTTCGGTCAGATATCACATATCAGGATTTAAATTAAATTAGTACTACTAACAAATCCGTTAAAGTATGACAAAACTTCCTAACCATAAATGTGTTGGCGGGACAACAATGATCACCACAATATCCGTACGCAATTTCACGTACACAAATATATTATTATCATATTACCTAATTAATCAATCAGGATCAGCTATAAAGCTGTAATTACATACTTTCAGAAGTGTCCTTTTAAAGGAAAAGTAATTATGCCCACCATACAAGTCTGGGTGGAAACCCTGCCTAAAAAGGCAGAGTTTCGGTACCGGTATAGGCAGTAGGCACTAATTACTGCCTATACTTAGAGCGTCGGTGAATGAGCCGGAACTAGCTACGCATGCGTTGTAATAGACCTTACCTAACTACTTTCCTAAATGGTAGCGTAAGCACTAGATTTGGCTAGTTAGTCATCAAAATAGATAGAAAAACTTAATGAGATGCTCCTGAACGACTAATTGTTTAGAATTATGTATGTATACGTATAAATGATGGCTACTCGACTAGCGATATGGAAATAGATTATAGTTAAAAGTAGGTAAAGTAAAGAAGTAGAAATGATAATGTCTTGTTTTACTAGGAAAAAAACCAGCATTGATATATCTAGGTAGGTACCTAGACTGTATTTCAGAAGAAACATGAGCATAATTTTACAAGCGGTGTGTGTTCAATTTGCGAATAAAACCGTAAAGCGTGAAATAGTAAATAATGAACAAGAAAGTAGCAATAAAGTAATATGGTTATGTACGAAGTGTTTCAGAAAATAAGAAAATATAGTTTCGATGTTTTTTTAGTAATTCATACAACACATAGTGGTTGGACATTGTTCTTTCAGAAAACTTTGAGTGAATAAGCAATTAATAACTTCTACGTAAATAATATCAGAACAACAGAAAATAGGAACTGTATGAGGATATTTTAACAAGATCTTGTGAATAATATCATGTTATCGAGGCATTCACGTCCAGCCTTACGTAACAATTGACTTTTCCCGCTTGTCGATGTTACAACACGTTATGCAATGATCCGGAATAATATACGCGAGTACGTACCACCGGATGCTGCATTATAAACATTGGATTTACTAAAATCTAAATCTCTTGCTAATAAAATTCGTTACTCACTATCTTTACAAGATCAGAATGATGTCAGCATACCTAGCACAGCTATTACGAACGTATTAGACGAATATTTTTGGACACAGTACCACAATGTTGTCAATTTCCAAAATAGTACTGATATTATCTAATGGAATATTTAAGAGAAGCTAGTTAACAAAACGTCTAGGTGCCGACCGAACAACAACTATCAGATCACGATACGATTGACTGGAACGGCTGCAGGCGATGCAAATCAAACTTTACCGCTCTGACTTACGGTCTAGTCTTGATAAAAGACACTGCCTGCCATGGTTTCAAAAATAGCCGAGCGACCAGAAATATCCATAAACCGTGCCCGGCCTCTTTCAGCGACCTATTAACCTGTTAAAGATCTAAATTCTTCATCCTATTCACTGCTGTAGTTGACTAAATTATCCTATTCAGAAGATTTGAGAAGGAAGCAAGAATAGAGTTAAATATGCAGATGCACTGATATCAGAATCTTTAAAACTTCGGAAATACTAAATGGGCACAAGGTACAATTAATACATATGTGGTATATTGACCTAAATGACTTTAATAAACAATGAATGCAACAGGAAAACTCGATGCAAAATACAGCACGAGATGGGAAAGCTGTCCTTTACGATTCGGCGCCACGGCATCACAACAGCGCGTGCTTGCACGCCAAGCCAACAACCGGTTTTGGCTCACGATTGTAAATAATTACTGGTTGAATTGACCTATCATTTAGGCGCTATGTAATCATTTAATTCTGTCATGATTAGTATATATTTCTTCTCAAAATATTATGATATTTATAAAGTGACAATAAAGTGTCTTGCTCGTACTTCTTTCTACGATTCTACACTTTACGAAGAACATGACGGCTCCATTAGTTGACGAATTATTCTACTTGAAGTTTCAAAAGTACCTATATGGAATAATTAAAATAAATGACTCTATCAATTAGCGAAAAAACTTCAATACCAAAAGTTATCTATATCTGGCGTCCAGAATCATGATACCATTAACGATATCTTAATCTTTTACTTTTATATCTTGTCATAGTGACGCTTAAATTTTAAACTATGTAATGTAAACAAAAATGAGAATGGTGGCATCGCGCCAAATGATACGACGACCTGTAAAAGGTAGCTTGGTTCAACGCCGAATGCGGAAGGTTGGGAGTCTTGGAAGTAGTGTGGTTGCCAACTGATATACCTCACGAAGGCACCAGCAATATAATAAAACGAAAGTTATTAGAATATGACGATGTAGGTACGTTCATAACACGGATGAAAATATATTATTAGGCATTTACATATAGATAAACAGAACTTATTGAAAATTTAACGTCAATTGGATAAAAAGAGGTTGAAGGAAAATATTATTATCAAGATTATAATATTCTAATCGCTTTGTAACAGACGATGTTCATTTATTTTCACAGTTGTAACATTTTAAAACAGTTTTTACTAAAATCTGATTATTTTTCTTAATACATTGTTGATATGTTTTCTGTTATACGTGTTGTCATAACTATTGTACAAGTTTGCGTTAGAAGTAACATATTTTACGTCTTATAATTTGTGTTTGAGTACCAGTACCAAGACAACCTCGTGTGATTGTAGTGTTTGGAACAGTGGCTACTATTTCCGCATCATTCGAACATTTGTGAACAGCAAAATATTTGTTCGGCTCTATGTTAAGTGTATGAGATTACAAATATTTTGTTTACATATAAAATTGTAAATCCTTGCCTACTGTGAAGTTTAAACAGTATACGAGAACTAGTACAATATTTAGCGGTAGGTACCTAGGAGTACTATACTATATCGTACCTCTAAATAGTGATAGCAATGTACAAATCAAGCTGAACATTTAACCATTTGAAAAGTTTGGGATTATTTGACGTACTGTCTGTACGTCTACATTAAAACTTCGCTAATCCCATGGCAGTTACAATGAATATTCAAATCCAACAAACTGCGTCACACCGACGTATTTATTTGTTTATTTTATAACTGCGCGTATAAGTCGCAGGTGACTGTCTAGGTTAGTGTTAATTCATCGGTCATCGTTACTGTTATGGCGGCCAACGGTGTCGAGTGAAAGTGGCTTGGGAAACCCCACTCTGACGTCAATGTCATACTAATGGAATTTTGATTAACGACTCTGTTTTCAAAATGTACTCCATGTGGAATATAATGGACATATATGTTTCGCTAACGTTCGAATCAGATCCGTCGTTGTGGGTAATTCCAGAATGGACCAACTTTATGATGAAAGTACACCTTTCTAATATCTTGCGTGAGGCGTTACGTAGAGAATTAATAAAGTTGCCTTGTTGGTCCATTGCATGTTATCGAGAGCACGGAAGATCCTGAATCCGTAACCCAGTTGCAGTACTTAATTTAATCAAAATACAAGGTGTCATGTCATGCACTCGTGCCGTGAAACGAAATTATCGTTTTAGCTCTTTTGGTAGCCCATAAATAAATTAGGCTTTTCCATAGAAATTGACGTGACTTGTTAGTCAACTTATATAAACCGATTTGTCTTAAATTCCTTTAATGAACGAGGCAGTCTTTTCTAAAAATATCCTTAATATTTTTCCAGAAAACTTCGATCACAAGAACCATCCTCAAAGCATCGACTTGAACGCGGTGCGACTATGTTTCCAAGTGTTCTTGCCGGACGAGACGGGGCGACTACGGCGTCCCCTGACGCCAGTCGTGTCGGACGTCATCTACGACAAAAAGGCCATGAGCGACTTGCTCATCATGCGGTCCAGCCACTGTTCTGGGCCAGCAAAAGGCGGGACTCAAGTTATCTTACTTTGTGAGAAGGTGAGACCATTCTTTCGTAATCCATTAAATAAGAAATTTCCAAATTTCTCTAGATCAGTCGGTCTGATGTTCATGATTATTTTCTGTTGGATTAGTCAAACATTTCTGAGACGAGACGACACCGTACTAAATATTACCCATCACGGTGTAAAAGCTAAACAAAAACCTCAAATGGGTTTTATCGATAGGTCAGCCTCGCTCAACAAAATTATAAGCATTAAAATTAACACGAGTGTCCATAAATACCTTGTTTTATGCATTTCCAGGTGACCCGAGAAGACATCGAAGTAGTTTTCTACCAGGAAGAAGACGGCATAATTGTCTGGGAGGAGATAGCCATCAGGATCCTGGTGCACAAACAAGTTGCAATTGCTTTCGAGACGCCAGCCTACAAATACCCGAATACTACTGACCATGTTAACGTTAGTACCTAACCTAACTTTTATACTAACCTAACAAAATTATCTTGAATTGAACAAATATAAATCGGTACAAAATACAAAGCTTAAAGTATTAAACAAATTTCATATTGTTTTCCAGGTGTACTTCCAGCTGAAGAGGCTGTCGGACAACGCTCGCAGCAACTCACTGCCGTTCGAGTACTACCCCGACTTCTCAGGTAGCGCGCGCAAACCTCTTCCAGACCTGTCTCTGTTCACGCTGCTCCTCAACGAGAAGCGAACAGACACCAATAACAACAAACAAGATAAAACCGAAGTCGTTAGCTCTACTACTGACAGTTACAGCGCCTCCGACGACACTGATACCGCGCAGGTTACCGACACTGACGTCAATGGTAACCCGCAGGTTACCGACGTCGAGATCATCGACACCAATGAGAAAAGTCTAAATGAACTTCTCGATCAGGTCGCGGAGTTAGATGAAATATACTCAGAGAACCGCACGCGCCTCGAAAACATATCTTCATTAACTAACGATAGTGAAGATATAGAGGATTTCAATGACGCGGGCACTTATACCAGTTTGCAACTCGCTTTCAAAAATCCCGTAGAGATTTCTGAACCTGACCCGATGTCGTATGAAGATGTCCAAGTCCAGACTTACCGCGGCCCTATCATTGAGTTTAGTCCACTAAAACGTGATACGGATGATGAGCGCGCTCCTCCCTTACCTCCCAAACGCGTCCGTAAAGCTGCATCTACCGAACCTTTCAAAACCAGCCAGACTTCAGTCGATAGTATCTTAAAACCCGGTCGACAGATACCCCTCACCCGTAATCCAGACCAATTGAAAATAAACTCTGAGATGACTGTAGCCAAAAGTGAACCTGCATTACCCCCGGTCAAGAAGCGTTCGTTCTTTTCGCGCCTATTTAGAAGAAAGGAGAAATCTCCTGCTCCCAGTGTTAAATCTGAGGGTAGAAAAGAGGCAAAGAGTAAACCTGTAGGTCGCTCTGTGAGCAGTGTCTCGGGGGTACGTCCTTCGAAGTTCAAGTCATCAGTGTCCCACACCTCGTTGAAAGACAACGCTTCTGGCACAGGCCTAAGTTATGCAGACAGTATCACACATATATCTCTCCATGGAGACGAGAATGAGAAGTCCACATCTCAGTCGTCTTTGCGTCGTCCTGCCAGTTTAGCTCCGCTGCCCCCGACAGATGGCGGCACTATCTTGGTAGCTGAAAGTGTACTCGCTCTAGACGCGTCTCAGTTTAAAAAGTTACAAGATGATTTAGATTTAACTGACGCGGAGCACTACGCGTTGTATATGGCGGTTGCCCCACACGCCACTGTTTCTGAATTCGATGAAACTAGTTGCTATTACTCGCCGGTAGATGGCAGCAAATTTCAAAATAATTAATCTTCAGCTAGTGACTTTGTCATGGTATTGAAAGAGTTGCACTGGTTGCACTATTAATACAAGTCGACTGATGCTTATACTCAGTCGTATTTCCCACCCCTAATGCCAAAAATGTATTACATTTTTACAGGTTTTCGACGTATTTACATGTTTTTCTATTATGTTTATTTTACTAATTTGTTAACCATTTTCACTGCGATTAATTCCGCAGTCACTTTTAATCAAACCAAACTTTCATTGTAACAATGTTCAATTGTGTCTACTGTTATATTTGTATCAATATTTGTGTAATAATATTACCAACTTAATGTTCTAGAGATGAATATTAAGAAGCGGAAGATGGTAAACGACTCGTTACGAAACTACGATCTTGAAAGTAAGTTCGGGTTTATAAAGTTAATATGTATTATTTACATGTGTCTATACAGGGTGTCTGGCATTAACGTTCGTTTCAAATCTACATTAATCATTAGTTAGCCAATGGTTTATTATATGTTATAATTTAATATAAATCTGCACAAACTCATTAATTTGCGTCATGCACCCTGTATATTTATTTATTTAGGGTTGCTTTGGTGAAAGCGGTAAACATGTGTCGTTAATGTGACATGTGTTCATATGTCATATGTTTATTATCATCTATTATGGATTCGTCATAACTTCATTTTAAGTCGTGGCTATGGTGTGGAGATTACAAATTATTGATTATTACATAACTTATTTTATACTGTCTATAGGCTAGATCTGATTTCGATAAATATTGGTGAATTTACTAACAATTTTTAGCTATAAGTAGTACAAGTATCGTATTATTAACATTCGTGTATGTATGTATTTTATATAAAAATAATTAGTATTTATGGATAAGTGTGGAAATGGCACAGACTATGCAGTCAGTCAGTGTTATAATTATGTAATGTAACATTTTTGGGTAGGTTACGTCTTTATTTCGTAGCTGTAAAGGCAAATTTCGTCGACCGACCAGTGTTTTACAATGTCGTGTCCTGCTAGGCAGCCTCTTATATTGCGCGTGACATGTGTGTCGGTCTTAAGGGCGAGAATCGTATTTAATTTGTACTTAAAAATATTTAATACTAACTGTAGGGTTAAGAGTAACTTAGAATACATATGGCAAGGTTTATTGGGTGAATTTTACACGTTTATTTTTCACCAGTGTTTTAAAGAGTCGTATATCTATTTATACAGACTTAATTATGCAACTATTTGTCTTATGCGAGTGTCTAGTCGTCTATTTAGTTCAAGTTCTTTTTTGTTACTATTTATTTTAGTTGTTCATTCGTTAATATTTAAAAAATCTATTGGCCGTTTTGTTATTTTGTTTAGAAAGTTTATATAGAACAGGGTCGGTGATTCAATCATGTAGGTAGTTAATGAAATAGGATTTTTTGTTAGTAATTTAGATGTACGACCCTGATTATGATTTGCATGGGTTTGAAAATGCAGCTATGGCTATATAGCATGCAAGTTTCAACCACAGTACACATTTACTTTACATAACATTGAGCTAATGTGGATATGTGTGTAAAGGAAGCCTAGTATACAAGTATGCATAACAAGCTAAACATACACTTTTCGCCAAAGACGAACATTTCAAGCAAATTGAATGAATTGACTATGTGATCATTCAAATTATATTGTTGTGTACTTCACTTTGGATGTAACTTTCGATTGTTATTCTGATTACATTGATACCCTATCATAATTTACATAATATTGTGCAACTTGGTATGGTGTTTTCATCAGCGTCATAAAGTCAGAATGAATATAAATAACATTTTTAGATTTTCTTTTTACACGATGAAAACATCATATGAATGTTTTTGGTACAGCTTCTAATACTATTAAGGTATAAATGAAACATATCTTTGAAATTGTATGTACTAGATAAAGTTTTAGATGAATTTACAAATTATTAATACCAGTGTTGTCGTTTGGATTGTAGCGGCTCAGCCGAAAGCGTTGTCAAAATTATTTTAGTTTAGTCAAAGGCTTAACTTTCGTTAATGCAGCCAAGCTGTCGGTCAAATTGTCCCGTAAACATAAAATAACCGTCAATTTTCTTGCATTTGTATATTTTAATAAATTACATAAACTGTTTTGTAAAGTTACTGTAAACGATTAGAGTTGGATAGCAAAGCTTGATTTGATGCGAAATTCTATATTAATATGCTAATAAAATATGTGGGTTTTATTTACTTGTTCATGGGCCCCCAAACCCCGAATGGTGTCAGAGGTACGGAAACTTTCATGTGGCATGGTATTGATGTTTTCTTTTTCGTTATTTTGAGCTTGTTTCTTTTTTTGTTTATTTTCACACATATTCATATTAGCCGTACTTTAGTAGTTACCTACCTATTGGTGGATATTTTAAATGCATGTTTTTATTTATTGTTTGCGTCGATGTATATATAAATATTTTGTCAGAGGGAAATTGGCACATTTATACTTTGAAGAAATACTTTTGTAATATATTTAATACAAAAATATTCAAACGTACAATTACTTGCAAAAATTAAAAAAGAGTAATTCAATTCATGTATATTACAATAATGTATAATATAAAAAACGGTGTTATTTTAAAACTTTTTGTTGTATTTTTATATTTTTTTTTTATTTGCACGTGATTGTAAAACTTTGTAGATTTAGCATTAACCTTATTTTGCATGCATTTTTGTTTGTGTTTATTTTTTTAAATTGTCGTAAATATAGCATTTTGTCTGAAATATATTTTGAAAAGTAATAAATCGACTATTTACAGGAATGTACTCGACGGTGGACCAACAAATCAAGTCGGAGCCAAGAGGTGAGAACCATGGGTTTAAATACTTTAATATTTAATATGTTTATTTATTTAATTAAGAAACTACACGATCAAATATGTTTATGTCAATATTTAAGTAATAATAGTTTCATAATTGATTGTTACTCGAATTAATATTGTATAGAAAAGAAGAACAGATTAACTACAAAGAAATATTAAAAGCGGCAATCCCGGTCAATATTATGTGCTGCTGCTTAAACGTGTATGTGCGGATAGTTTGCTAAATGTTATTGTTATGCTATAACTTGCTCATGTACACACCAAACCGTTATGCAAAACGAATGTTGTACTCAACTCAAATAGACAAATAATTTGTGAGGGATCAAGTTACGTAGTGACTGCTTAAATGAATGCTTTTTGTGCTAATATTGAAATGTACATGTCGTTGCAGACCGGACTCCGCCCCACCATAACATAAGCAGTCCGCCGCTGCACGGCTACGCGCCTCAATATGAACAGGTACATCTATTATACTCCATCACACACTTCTAACTACTTGATTCTTCTTCTCCTTCCTCGCCCGGTCATTGCAATATTGTACTTTTACTTAATTGAAATGAATTCTATTTCAGAATTGGCCAATGGACAATATGCAAGGTGGACTCGGGATACCTGGACCGAGCCACGGAGCAGTGCCTGGCGGCCACGGGAACCCGTTCGCCCAGGAAATGTGGCAGAACCAACAGTACGGCCAGGTGTCCCCCGCCCACCTGCAGCCGGCCGCCATGGCACAGAACCTGCAGGTGTTGCAGCCCAACATGCACGCCATGTCGCCCAGGATGCAGGCCATGTCGCCCAGCATGCAAGCCATGTCGCCCGCCATGCAGCCCATGTCGCCCAACATGCAGCCGCTGTCGCCCAACATGCAGGCGCCCTACGCGGCCGAGCGCATGTCCCCCAACATGGCCGTCATGTCCCCGCACGCACAGACCATGTCCCCCAACATGCAGGTCATGTCCCCCATGGGCCGCGTGTCCCCGAACATGCCGCAGAATATGGGGCATATCTCGCCCAACTTGGTGCAACACCAAACCACTTATTCGCAGGTGAGATTAGGTGTTATTTTTACTAAATATATAATAGTGATTACTGGATTCAAAGAATATAATGAATTTCGAGTGAAAGAATGTTTTTTTTTGCGATAGAGCTGAAAGAACTGAATGAAAGAAATAATTTAAATGAATTAGTTTTACGAATAGAATAGAGATAGATGTAATATTGTCGTCGTCCCGCAGCAGCCGGCGGGCATGGAGACGGAGGCGCACAGCGCGTCGCTGAGCCACCTGCTGCTGGACCGCGCGGACGCCAGCCTGCTGCTCAACTCCAGCGAGCTGTCGGGGCTCTCCGACCTGCTGGGGAACACCATCCCGCAGTAACGCGCCAAGGGACTTACTCCTAGAGACACGCTACGGTAGCACTCTACTTTGACTTACGAATTTAACTCACAGACACGGACTTTTGTGTCGCCCGAGTGAATGGATATATTTGTGTGTTTATCTATGAATAGATGGATACTTTTTATTTAGCTATTATGTCGTAGTACATTTTACCGATCTGGGATTTTCGTATAAGTAAATCACAATGTGAGCGCGAGTGTAATATTAATGGACGCAGCTTATTCCTTTTTGGTGGTCCACGAATATGATCATACTCAAAACAATTTACAATCATCACAAAAATCGTTTTAGACACCGTTCATACCAAACGTATTGTCGGCCGCTGACTGTGAGAGCGCGTTACGTAGTTTATCGCTTTTCATATATATTTAATTTAACATCTCATTTACACCGAACCGACTATACACTATTGCGTTGTCGACAGTGAGCATACTCACAGTCGGCGGCGGACATTACGTTTGGTGTGACCGATGCCTAAATTATTTATGTATTGTTTATATTGATACTCTGAATTTTTAAAGTTGCTTTTTATGACTGACCCGAACACATCTTTTATCGCTCTTTATACTTTTCTATGGTTGATCTCTAAACAGATTATATACTTTGCATTTTGTTGGTGCTTTTGACTAACAGTTTTATTTTTCTTGTCAAATGTTTATACCTGTGATCTAACAGAAAGGTGTTCGTATTTTTTTATTATACCAGAAAATATTATACGCAACAATGCATTTCATTGAATTTTGAAACGTTTATTACGTGGTTAGACAGACTCGTTTGTAAATATCGTAAAATAATTACGTTTAATGCAACTTCGTATATAAAATGTTATATTCTGCCTAAATAATTATTTCCAATACCGTTTCTACTTGTTAGAAATGACTATCTGGAAACATTTTACCACATTGACATGCGAATTAAAATTAAAAATAAAGTTATGATGAAATAATAATTTAGTGGCTAATGACTCCGAGGCTGTGGATTTATAATTTTGTTACATTTGTGTCACTTCGAAATAATGTCTATTCACTCACATGTTTTAATAAATTTTCTGCAATATACAAACTAGACAATGTTTTTGATATTTTTAAAATGAATTAATGTGTGTTCGAAATACCATACCATTCTCAAAGTGGGGTAAAAATTATATATTTATCAATATTGATAAAGTCTTATTAACCTAATATTACCTATATTAGGTGCTTAAAAAGTTATTCTGGAAAAGAAATATTAAAATTGAATTTCATGGTTCTATCTTGTTTCTAGATCTTCATAATTTGTGTATATAGCACAGCTATTAGTCTTCCTTCAGTCTTCTTTACGTAAATCCACGGTATTGGATACAATACAATGTTTAATTAGATTTTCACATAAATAATGATGAGATTTTATAAATCTTTGTTTCAATGACTTTATTTAAAGATTTCATTCTCATGTAAGATTTAGATTTAATTATTAAATTCATATTTTGGTTATGATTTGTTACCAAATAGTTTGTAAATAAAAGGAAAAAAGTATTGAATTGTTTATGAATTTTGTTTGTATATGGGAGCATTAGAAAACTGCCGTTTATTGGTTGGTTTTCGATGTCAAAGTTAGAAATTATTTTCCTGAATTACACAGTTTTTGTAAAAGTACACGAAATGTTAAAAATATTAAGTGTAAATGATGTGAGGAAAATACTGTTTTTTTACTAAATAAGACTATTTGTTTGCATGAATAACGACTTGGAATATGTTTCAGACGCAATTAGTAGGATTTACGATCATTACAACTTTGGTTTAGATATAATTTTATCTAATATGAGCCCGCCACAGGGTCCCTACAGTAATGATCTAATTGTGCAATGATAAAAAGCATTGAAAATGCCAGTTTTGTTATATTTTTTGAGAAAAAAAAAAATACAATAAAAGTATATTATTTAAAAATTACAGTTTTATTTCTCCTTCCTTGTGTGCTAAACTAATTTTTTTATTTATAGATGTGGTAAGTGTTAAGAAATAGGATGTACAAATCCCGAATTACAACAAGTGATGCAATAATGAACCTACACCTAATGAACCTATTAGGTATTTGGTTTTATTTGTACTTGTTTTTGACATAATAATTTGGACAAAACATGTATATTTTTTCAATGATTTTAGATTTTATTTGTATCAAATGCGAATTAAGATTTGCATGGACTTAGCTTATTTAATATTTCTACACCAGAAATGGTAGTATATGTGATTCCATATTTAATGTCCTAACCACCACCTCATCTTTATCTTTGCAGTAGGTATACCCATATTATTATACCTATGTATAAACGTATTTGGATAATTATAACTTGTTTGTGATTTATAATTCAACACTTCAGTGGTACATTGTGATATGCAATAAATAAAAGCGGTTAAGCACTGAAGTTCAAGTTCATGGCAAGTATGTACAACTACTAAACCGATTTTAATGAAACGTGGGGCTCATATGTAATATCAAGGTTTAAATAGTTGAGAACAATTCATTAAGTTTTTATGGAAACTGCTCGACGCGACTAACGAGTCGTGTAAACGCTTATAATTATAAGGATACCGATGAATTATTCGCCATGTCAGACACAAGACGTCCTGTCGAACATAGCTCATTCATTCAGGCGACTTTATTTCCATTGGTACTTTTTTATGATGTTAGGACGACAAAACGTCGTATATCGCTATAGTGTCGTGGTGGTACCTGGTGCAGGTAAGAACATAAAGTACCTAGACTTGCCTAGTAGCAGCGCGGCAGTTGCCGCGTCGTGTGTCGCGGAATGCTGTTCATGAATATGAGCCTCTGGCATGGCTTGAACATAGTCGTTCTCGTCAAACAGTTACCTACGTTAGTAAGTCGAAAACATAATAACTAAGAAAATAAACATTTATTCAGTACAGAGTCAGTAACCATTGATTGGCTACTCAAACAACCGTTACTTAAGATATGACTTGATTCTTATATTAAATAGATATTATACTAAATACTCTTGGTCATTATATTAAATAGAAACTATAGGTACGTATACGTGTTTAGTATAATAATAACTACTATCCCTGTACTGGGTCAATATTAATTCTTCACCTGTAAAGTAAATAGTAGTAATAAAGTAAATACGTAAATATTAATTTACGTATAGCCTCACCTCACATGTACACTATTTAATAATAACGTAATCAAATTGTGAAAGAAATCAAAACAATGATACGTACCGACAAATCCATGGGCGTCGGAGCTTTCGGTAGTAAATGACTTTATTCTATGGTCGGGCCACCTGGTACAGTTATAGATACATACACCTTGCATTGTTTTCCCAAACCTGTATAAAATTTTCGTAATGTTAACGAAATACCGTTCTATAAAGCCTTATTTATTGTATCTTTCTACAAAATTATATAAAACTTAAAACAGTCGCACATTTGGGTATTACACATCCACGATCGTCATTCGTCTCAGAAAATTAAGAAACGCAATACGCCATGTCACAAAAAGGCGGCAATTCGATTCGAATTTCAAAAATGTTTTATGTCAATAATTTTTTTTTGTTTATTATCTTTGTCTGCACGGCAAAATGTTGACCTTTGTGTCATGTTATAAAAGAAAAAAATTGGATAACGAAAGATGACTGAGAAAGGGTAGCAATTTCTTAAAATACTCTATACCTTTTTTTTTTTTTAAGGGGGAAAATCATCGAATGACTGCTCCCGCCTGGGTGAGGCGGAAGGGAGTGCCAGACTCTTACTGACTAAAAACCACCCCGTTCCTTCTCCTGCACGTCGAGCCGGAGCCCCGGTTACCCGTTAGGTTCTCCGCGACTCCGAATCGGCATCGGCCCTATTGGGCCCCATCTGTGGTGGTCTGATGGCTCTTTGAGGCGCGCGCGGAACGCGACGCGCCGTACGCTCGGGTCTGTTTCTGGTCGGACGGGGAGCCACCCATGCTCGCCGTCCGCAGGCCCGCGCTTACGGTGGCCGGAGATCGTCCCGCGATCCCCGACGCCCGGTGTGTCCTTCGCGATGGCTGGATTGCGAGGAGGCAGCGCTTCGCTGCCTCACGCGTCCCGCCTCCTCCCTAGCTAGCATGACTGCTTTGCAAAAGGAGGAGACGGCATCCCAGTCCCCCTCGCTCCGCATCATGGCCTGCACTAGGCCCGGACGCGAGAGGTCGCCATCGCCGATCACTTCCCTGAGGGCAAGGCTGTGCCCAGCCCACGCAGGGCATTCCGCTACGGTGTGTTCCACCGTGTCCTCAGGGCGATCCTCGCAGTGATGACACCCGGGCGTTTCCTCCCGCCCCATCAGACACAGGTACCTCCCGAAACTTCCATGTCCGGTGAGGACCTGCGTCAGGCGGTAGGTGAGGACGCCGTAGCGTCTCTCAAGCCACTCCTCAAAGAGGGGTCTTACCGCTGCAATGGCAGCGAGCCCAGCCCTCGGTTGCGACAGTCGTTGCTGCCATTCCGCCATGAGATCGCGCCGGAGCTCATCCCGCCACGCACTTATCTGGCGCGGCAGCGGAGTTTCGCCCCGGCGACGTGCCTCCGCGCGCATGTGATACACGCGCGCGAGCACCTTCGCCTCCAGATCCCACGGCGGTAATCCGGCAAGGAGGTTCGCCGACTCCCCGGAGATCGTGCGGTATCCGCGGATCATTCGGATCGCCATGACCCTCTGTGACATGAGCAGCGTCCGAGCGGGACGCCGCAGCATGTTCGTCGCCCACACAGGGGCGCCGTAGAGGGCCATGGACCGCACGACAAAATACTCTATACCTGTATACACCCTGGTGGCTGGGTCGCTTCACAATAACGAAGATAGGTGATGGTAATAGTTCTTCATATAGACTTCACTCCCACTTTTTTGAAGTCGGTTATAGTTTTTTTTTAAGGGCGGAAAATCATCGATTGCCTTCTCCCGCCTGGGTGAGACGGTTAGGTATTTGATATACAAAACCTTCTCTTCGGTGCAAAAAAA